TTTTGCCAAACACCCCAAATTTCCTAACAACGCTAAAAGTGAGCCTTCCAGGCTTGCAGAAACACATGGTTATGTTTCAATTTGCATGGAGCCCAAACTTGTTAAAATATAAAGAAATTGCTATGCCTGATTCATCCCCGCATCCAGTAATTTGAATTCCGTCCCATTACACAGCCAGCACAGTCGTAATTAAAGCACTGTAGAATATTTATGGTTTCATTCATTTTTTAAAGGTAGTTTTTTTGTGTCTGGGGTTGTTTGTTTGTTTTTTTCCCTTTAATTATCATTCTGGTGCACTTGTTCTTGTGGCTGGTTGGTATCAAATACCCAATTCCTCCTGAAAGCCGTGAGAACTGCAGACGCCCGTCGCCTTGCGTGACGGCACTGAGCTGCCCAACAACTTCGAAAGATTTACTTTAAGAGACTTTATTTCAAAAGGGAAGTGTTGTATACGCTGAAACTTTGACCCTGTAGCAGGAAAACAAAACAAAACCCAAAGAGTGAGATCCTCAGATAATGCACTTTTCCAAACTGCAAAGCTACAAGGCTGCGCCAGCCGCACCAACAGATGCAGTGCAGTAGCTTTAATAGAGGGAAAAGGATGATGAGGTGCTACAGAGGAGCAGCGCAACATAATTTACAAGGCAACTTCATCTGCGGTGCATAAAGCAACCCCACCTTGAAGCCTTATTGACCTGAACGTGCGCACTGAGTCTCCCTTGTTTTCTTCTTAAACTGGAGACAAAATGAGACTAATAAATTGTTTCCCACCATCACATGCAAGGGCAGAAAAAAAGCCTAACTTGCAGGCGTTAGCAAAACTGGGAGTTTCTGTTCTCGGAAAACAGGAGGAAAGATTTCAGACAGGCTCTTCTCCAGGGTCAGGCTCCTCCACTGACTCAGAGCTTGCTTCTATTTGCTTTTTCCTATCCAAACTCCAGATCCACTGATTATCTTTCTTGTTCTGTCTAAAAATAAGTCAAACATCTCCGTTTACGTGCCTAAAGAGCCCACTGCTGTAATTTCTCGCCTTCTGAAATTACAGTTCAAAACTCGCTTTTAATTCCCGCCCCCCCCCCCCCAGCTCATTACACCCTGGCATACACGCATACTGCTTCTTGCCCTCTTCTTTCTAACTGGGCTCACATTAATTAACAAGCAATAGATTTTTCTTTATTACAATGCTAAAGCCCTTCTTTCTTCACAAATTAAAAACAAGATGATAGATCTTTTCTTCTGGATGGTGGTTTTGATGTTACAAAAATAGTATTCGATCTGCATGGTGGATAATAGAAATTTTAATACCTATTTGATGAATTGTTTTCATGTCGGACTGAGTCATGATTAGGGGTTTTGTTTTGTGAAGTTGTTTTTAATGGAAGTGAAGGAGGACTAGGAAGTTTCCCGTGAAATCAGATGTTAACTGCACCAGTCCCAGTGTATACGCTTAAAAAAACCCCCACAGAACAACAAGAGGCCTTGCTCCAGAGAGCATAGATGTGGCAAAACCAAGCTAGTGAGCAAGTGAAATAATATCAATCCCCATTTTATAGCTAAATAGTGAAGAGCCCCTGGTGTCAGATCCATCATCTGCTACAGCCTCTCGGGGACCCCACCTGGTGATAGGACTCAGGACTGGAGATGCCCAGTCACGAACCAGCTGTCTGCCTGCAAAAAAGAAATCCGTATTGGCCCCTTCTCCTGGCTTTCACAAGGCTATTAAAGCATTTCCAACTCACTGCTTACAGTACACTGAGAATTTGACACCCTGGGACAGTCTGGAGGAGAGCTACACATCCTGCCTTACCCGTGTTCAGCATCCACAGCATGGTTTGCGCCCATATGTAACCCAACATCACTTTCAGATTTACTGGAAGCAGACAAAGTTTCTCAGCAAAGCTTCAAGCTGCAAATCCCAAGCTCATGCTGTAACTCAGGGAGAGATTGATTTGAGAAAAAAAAAAAAAAAAAAAGCTGTGTGTGGAAGACATATAGCTCCCCCAGTACTTCTAGTACAAATACAAGCTTTCTGTCTCAGCATTCTACAGCACCACTGCTCTTTCCAGAAACCCTCAATGGACACGACTGCACACTGCCCGACAAGTTGCTGAGTCAGGTGTTAGCGCTTCAGGCTTGACTACACAGTGTTTTAATTAAGCAACCTGCTCTCTGGAGCTCACAGAAAGCTCATTTGAAGAATAACACTGACAGCAAATTTGTCATCTACAGAGAGAGCTGGGATTTTCCCCCCCAGTTCACCACTTACCATCTTAAACAGCTCGTTGATGAAATTCCCTTATCCCTCATACAGTTCATCTGGTTTTACCTCTCCAAACCGTGACCTGTGCTCCTGGCCTGGGCGGTTGGGGAGTCCTTCCTGCCCTTAGCCCTAGGGTGGGACCCTGCAACTCATGCTGTATACGCAATCATTTCAGCAGGTCACAGGTAGTCATGCTCCATCCCTGCTCACACTCTGCTAGACCTCCTCAAAAAGGTTGGAAGAGGCAGGACGTTCCTCCACACCACTCTTGAAGTTTGCCTTCTTTTTTTACCAAGGCAGACTCAAATTATTTCTGGTTTAGATGGAGAATATGCCTAAAGCCACCCTGTTTGGTCTCTACATGGTGCATCTCCCAAGGAGGGAGCTGTAGCAAGCACTTGGTGGCATAGCCGATAACGTCTGCAGGAGAAACCCCTTGAAGGTTTCAACACGATGAACATCCAGAAGTAACAAATGACCACTAGTGTACATTGAATACTACAAGAGGGTCTGCTGACTGCAGTGTTCACTATGTCTTCCCAGTGGTCAATCACATTTGCAAAACCAACACCAGTACGTAGAGAAGATGCAGAGGGGAAGGAAAGAAGGAAGCTGGTAGAAGAGACAAACCAGAGCAGTTGGAAATGCTTAAAATCTCAGATTCTGGAAAGAAAAGAGAAAAAAAAAACCCACAAAAAACTGTCTCCTCTCAGGGATCCAGCTTCACATCCTTCAGTAGTGAAAAAACAAAAGCCTTTTGAGACTCTACTGTAGGGGACAAAGCAGGAATAAGAGCTGCTAATCCTCCCTGACCCTCACCGTGCTTTGTCTCCATTCCTCAGTTCGTGCCTACAAAACACTGGTATCATCTATCACTTTCCAAAAATACTGCTCCTTTCCTGTATTGTTGTAATACCATCCCCTGGCATCACAAAAACTACCTTTCGTCTTTCTTTTCTCCTCATCTCAATTTGATGCACCAGCATAATGTCTTTCTATAACATTGGCACATTTTTATAATGAGAAAGACCCCCCAACCACTGAATTGAGTTGCTATTCAATCTTTATCTCTGCCATAGCACAAGACTCATTTGAAGAAGTGACTCATTCAAATGATTTAAAGTCTTACACATTTATGAAAATTATAAAACGTCTCTCACATGGTGTAGGAAGAGTAATAAAACCGCACTGCACCCAGAGGCACAAAACAATCCAGGTACCTGCCAGTCAATCCACTGAGAGCTGGGCTCCCCCTCTGCACCCCTCCTACGGTGCCAGTTTGCCTTCTGAGCTTTTAACAACCCCATTTTTGTAGGCTCAGTCTCTTTTTCACAGTCCTTTCACACCTATGCAGTCCTTGCTGTGGCAGTGAAGTTAATGCCAATTTACACTGGACTGCTCTGCGCCAAGAAGCAGATGCTCCATGACTCATGCAGTGCTTACAGACACAAGTTATGGATAACAGCACGATAATTAACAATACCAAATGTCATCTCTAAAATTCAAACATGCAGATGTTAATGCCCATGGCATATGACCACATTAATTTAGGAGGCAGAAGCTGCAGCCTTTAATCAATACCTTGCAATCCTCCAGTGCTGTTGACCACATCGTTGTTTCCCCTGTAGACAACGCAGACATAAACCACACAGGACTCTTCGGCACGCTGCAGCGGGGAAGAAGGTAACAAACCCCTGCCCTGATTGCAGACTCCATGGGAAATCAAATACCATCTACAAAGAACTGAACGCAATGCAATAAAAAGAAATTGAAAGTAAGAGATGTTGATTTTCATCTGTCATTTGGATGATTTTCAGTGACTTCTGCATGTCAGAAAAGGCCAAGCATTCAGAAGAGACAAACAACTAACTCTGGCCTTGAAAAAAAAAAAAAAAACACACAGAAGGAAAAAATAAAGACCACTGTCAGCACTGCCAAGAGCTAAATCCCCCTGAGCAAACAGCTCTAGTTCAGCTAAGAGATATAGCGTGAGTCAAACTGTAATAAACACTGGTACACAGTGGTACTTCCCCAAACGGAATTCAAAGTGCTCACAAGCAAAGGTATCCCACATGACTCAAGCTTTGCTTTGTCACATAGAAATGATTTGGGGATTACAAGCAAAAAGCTAAGATGCAGGAGGAACCGAAGCTGGAATTTTCCCATCGTGACAAGGTCAGGATTGCCACAGAATCCGTGTTTTCCACAGCCAGGCAGGACATCGCATTAGTCCTCTGGAAGGCGGCTGCTCCTCCAGCAGCTACCGGCAGAGGTTCAGCGGTAACGCAAAGGACCGAGTGCCATCTACCGGGCTGCTCTATCAGCTCCCTCCTGCCGCTGCTGGATTCCCCGACATCTCCCAAGCGCAGGTAGGCCAACCCTTCTCAAGCCGCTGTCTCGGGCACCATGACCAGATGACATAGCAAAAATAATTCTACTGTCTGTTTATAGGAGCCTGGTGTCACAATTGGGGCGGCCAAGAACCTAGAGCTAGCCAGAGAGACAGACCTTGGAAGAAAAGTGACAAAACAGTGCCGATGAAGCCCTGAAGGGGCTTCACAAAGCCTCAGAGTTAGCAGGTCATAGAAGTGATATAAACAAAAAAAACCATCAAAACAATCTCCTCCCCCCCCGAAATTTAGCTGGACAAACAGGCAGAGTAAAAAAGTTAATAGAAAAAAATTTATTGCTCAAAACTGTCTCTGGTTATGCGTATGGCTAGTAGGAGGTTCCCACTGGATCAGTCTGCCAGCTCATCTCTCACCAGCACAGGGAATCTCTTGCCTCCTTCACAGAGCTGTGTGTAAATTGCCCGATACAGCTGAGCGGCAGAGGCCTCCGGGTAGAGCCTGGACTCCAGGACAGGCAGGAGTTCTGCCATCGTGATCTGGGAAGGAGCAAAGGAGACGCGTCACCAGAGCCAGCATGCACTTCTACAATTCCATGAAGTGAAGCGGCTGCATAACAAGTGAAATCTAACCACAGCAGTATGACTAATAACGTGCTAGTTGACAGATAAGATACTTTCTTTTGTAATATTTAACAAAGGCAGAGTTGTTCATCCTCTGCACATGAAGTACACCAGCAGCCACCCGGCAATCCTGAAGCAGCGGGACAAACAGCTGTGCTTTTCCTCTGCTGCAGAGATGGCTCAGTGCTGGGATGAGATCAGCATTCTGTGAGAAGCTGATGTTGACTCAGGAGCTCTGCAACCACACAGTGAAGCGCTTACTCACCCAATGGTAAGTTCAACCCTTCACTCAACGACTGCTCCTGTCACCTCCCAGTTGGGCCACATTAATCCAAGACAGATGTGCAAGTGGCCAACTCCAGCCCAAACAGAACAAACCTGCACACCCCCAGCAGCACAGGCTACAGGGGATGCTAAAGCTGCCCAAAATCCCCTGACCTGGTCTCTGATTTGTTAAGCCTAGCTTGTGACCTCTCCGTGCTGTCAAACAGCCCACCGGCCTGTCGCAGCATAATTAACAGCACAAAGCTTCGGCATTATGACTGTGACTGACAACTCAAGCACAGGTGAACTTCCAATCAAAGGGCAAAAGTCAGCCTTTAGTGCCCCACTCTTGAATTAATGCTCAGAAAGACATTTTGCCTGGGATTCTCCCCCCCCCCCCAGCTGGCATCAGCTTATGAAGCCTGAGCAGTGTGCTCATTAAAACCCCACACAGCCTACTGTACACGCTGCCTTCCCAGGAGAAGAGTGGACAATGAACTGCACAAAGCATTCACCTCACTCAAAGCATTTTTTAGTGGTGGAAACAGAGGAAGACCCAGACAGAACATCTGCAGGGGGTTCCCTTTCCTGTTCTCTGTAAATCTCTGCCCAGGGACAGGGAAACAGGACACAGTTGCTAAATCTCTGGGAAGAGTCAAGAGCTGCAGACAGGAAAGCCGGCACATGAAGGAGTGCTACGCTGCTCCACTTCCTTCTCTCTCCTAAGAGAAAGCCCCTTCTCTTCCACCTGCTTGGTCCACACCTGATGCATAAGAATAGAGGAAACAGGCCTTCACCATCAAAGACAGGCTAGGAGCTACCAAGACTCTCTATGATTCTTGGCATTCCTCCATGGAAAGGCAACAGACAGGCTTGGCCGAGAGATAAATACCCTGGGAAAGGATGTACATATTTTGTACCAAGTCCATTCACTTCACCTGTCCCAAGAATTTCACTCATATTGCACACTCTGCAGAGAGCTCCTTCAGATACTCGGAGCTCACTCAGCACAAAAGACCTACTTCGATACATGGGCAGAGGAAATGAAGTCAGTCGATGAAGCATCAGGCAGCAGGTTTTGGTCGCTATTTTGTTTTGGGCAGATAAAAATCAAAAACCTCACAACCCATAATTCAGGATTATAGCACTATAGTCCCATTTGAAGACAGGCAGCAATCTATCTTCAGCCAGAGAGAGAACCACCAACAGTTATGAATATCTTCCCCAGCTTACAAGAAATGGCTTTTCCAAAGCCTCTGTCACTCAGGTCAACGGCAAAGGTTAGGTATGATTGCACAAATCTTCTCTGCCCTTTGCCGCTGTAGGTTGAGAAGAACAAATGATCCCTGTGAACCAAGCACTCTGCTCAGGCTGGTGGAGTGGCTGACCTCCTACTGTGTTCTTACAGGCAGTCTCAGAACAGTAAAATCAAGATTAGCAGCACAGCGCTTTAAGATTTAAAAGGAAAGGAACAGACAGCAGAGGAGTTCACTAGCTGGAGGTCATGCAGGAAGAGAATGACAGAGCAGGTGCCCTAATGGGACTGTAAAGGGGCACAGAAAGGGGTCTTCAGGCATTACCAACAACATCCTCCATTGCCAAACTCTTCTAGAGTAGCTAAAAAAAAACCAAACCCAAAAATCTTATCAGGAAAGGCTCAGACAATTAGAGGTCTCTGCTGCAAACTTTAAAAAATAACAAAAAAAAAAAGTAAGTCCATTCATCTATAAAGTAAGCAAAGCACTGATGGGACTTAGACACGAGGCATAAAAATAGAAGCACCACTGGGAGAGCTTGCTGTGGTGCTGCTCTCCCCTCAAGACCCGTATGTCAGCTGTTGCCCTACAATTGCCCTTTTCTTTCCCTACTCCAGGAAAAGGGCCACTTTTAAGGACTTACCTGTTGTAAGGCAATTTCTTGGTGCAGCATTGACACTCGCAGCTTCAAGGCAAACAGGTCCCTCAGCTCCTGGAGACTGGAGTAACAAAGGAGAGGCACAGCCAGCACACCTGCACTGTCACACGTCTGTCCCCTGGGAGGAACACAGGCTGGAGAGCAGCTTCCTACATCCTCAGCGCAGCCTGGGCGCAGCCTTGCCTGGGACTCCACAGCTGCCAGAGTGGAAGAATTGGCAGGAGGCAGAAATATACAAGTTAAATTTTGTACTTTGTGGTCTACTTACTGTTGCTAGAAATGAATGACTAATGACAATCTATTAGTTGGGGTAAGCTCCTCACATATGGCACAATCATGACATCTGAAGCTATGGCATGCAGTCTCCCTTGTCTCTCAACAGCTCCCTCACCAGCCCTCCTGAATTGCACACACTAAGAGTCCCAAGCCTCTCCTGAACACAGATGGGTGGCAAACAGACACCACAGCTTTGTTTGCCACGAGAGAATTTTACTTGCTACGTTACCATTAAAGATAACCAAGGAGAAAAGTTATGTTGGTCCACAGTGGTCTGCGCACAGATAGCGAACTACTGTTTGAGCACAGCTGGCCACATTCATAGCGGGCTACAAAACCAGGGACTAGCTCACCTGCTCGCAGAAGCTGCAGCTTGTGCAGGCACTGGGAAACTGTGGTTTGCAAACCCTCCAAGGTTAGAAGGCTTTCATATTCCCGTTGCAGAGTGGGATGGTCTAGAAGAGATACAGAGGAAAACCAGCAGGCATGAGCACACTGGAACGTTTCCCCCCGCCGAATACCCGTTTCTAGAATGGCCTTGGGTTCATCAGCCCTCATTTTAGGTAGGGAATGCTCCTGTCCCTCATGTCCAGTACATGCCAAGAACACAAGACACACAGAACTGGAGCCCAATGAAATAATCCTTATTTCTCCTGCTTCCCCCTCCAGCCCCTTTTATCTCCTTACCTGCAGGCTCAGCTTCCACACGCTGGCTCAGAAGGGAGGGCACATCCTGGAGGACCTTTAATTCCTCCTCTATCTCCGCAGGACTGCAGGCCAGCATCGGTGAGCAAAACTCAAACGGCAGCAGCTTAAGGAAGGTTTCACACCACCAGCTCTGTGCACTACCCTGAGCCCTGGGCCAGGCTGGCTGGGACCAGGGGCAGAGGGCAAGCAGCCCATGAAGGGATATTGTGGGGGGAAGGTGAGGACAGCACAGCTGTGTACAGCATGTTTGCTTTGTGGCCTTGTTTGTCTGGATCGAAAGTTTTATGACTGCTCGAGAGGTGCACTATGAAAAAAAACCAAACACCTACTTCTTAAGAGACCTAGCTTGAACTCCTGTTATTGGAGGCGTAACTCTCTCCAGCTGGGAGCATGCTGCAGAGTGACTGCACCCGCTGCTGGCTATACTGCACCACGTGCTCGTGGAAGGGGGCGGCGAGCTGAGAAAGGATACAGTTGTCTGGATCCTCTCTATAAAACGGTTCCTTGCAGCTGCTGCATCCACACTTGTTTGGCAGAGACGACATCTCTCCCATGCCCTGAAAATTCAAAAGGGGCAGGAGGTGGAGGAGTTATGCTCCATTGTACCAGACAGTGCTCACACAAGAGCTGTGACACGCCAATGAGTTATCAGCACTTCAAGTACAAGCATCTTCCTCATCCCTCACTTTTACAGGTTATTTACTAGCTATTCCCCCCCTCATTTTTGACAGATCGTATTAGATCAACAAAGACACCCTGCAGAAAGCGTTAGACACTGAAAAACACCTGTTATTTCTCTCAACTTGTTTTGAGAGGAAGGATTTACAGCCATCAGAAGAGAAACAACACATTTCTTTAAGCAAATCGTGAATTTGCAGCACACCAGTTATTCTGTTGCATTGCCCTACGTATCTTTTTATCCCATAGGAAACAACAAATCTTCCCTTCCTGTCTTGAGGGGTAAATCATTTGAGTTTCTGTACATCAACTCTATTAGTCAATGGGCGCAATCAGAAAAGCAGACAGGACAAATTCTCACCCTAGCTTTTATCACAGCCATTCCTTCATATGCCAAACTCCTCAAGACTCTCCTTTAATCCTGTTTTTTTTTGGGTTTTTTTTTTGTTTTTTTTTTAATTGGACAAAGTGGTGTGTTTGGCAAGAAGCATGACAGAAGTGAGTCAGTATCAGGGACACAAAACAGAGGTTTAAGGACAGTATCATGAGGAAGCTGCCCAGGACCTTGTATCAGAGTCCAGTTTTTAAAAGAACATGTTACACAAATAACAGCGCTACCAGAGAGGTGCATTTCACCAACAGAATTCAACATCTCCACTGATGCACAGTTCCCATATCTTTTAAGTAAAGGACTGCTTTAAAAAGCCAGTGCATCTCAGCCAGTCTCCCAAAACTTGCTGCAATAAGTGAGAGCCATCAGGAGGAAGCTTAAAATAGTTACACAGTGCACGACTGCCTAACCTGAGTGTGCACGTGTCTTCTCTCCACCCAAACAGATCTTTTAAATCATGATAGAAACTGCAGTTTTCAGAAACCCATTATGCAAAGAAATAGCAAGGTTAACGGAACAGAATAAAACAGAAGTTACCAGGCAAGATGCATTCCCTCTACAAGGGATCTTCAGAGCAAAGGTTATTTTCAATCTGTCACAGAGCTGAACGTAATAGTGAAGAGTGTAAAATTACACTAGAATGATTAGGAAGGCAAAAGGCTCAATTTACAAGTGAACATTAAGGGAGCCAAGTCTTTACAATTTGCTGAAGGGCAACTAACAAATTGGCGTCTGATAAATAAAAGTTCACAAGAGGAGGAGGAATTCGTGAAGGCAGCACAAGGAGCTATAGCTAGATTTAAGATAGGGTTTAAGCTTATTATCTGGACAAATCACATAATGAGAAAACTGATGAATTATGGCAAGATGTCTCAAAGGAAATGGTGGGAAACTCTTCCAGAAGGCTGGAGAATGGACTAGAGTACTGATTTTACCAGAAACCCAACCACCTGCACCATGGATGCAGTAACATTGTTATTGGCTCTATTTAAGAGAGTTCATCAGCAGGAAAAACTCAGACAATGGCAGCGGCGGTGCTTCCAGGTTCAGGAGGTGCACTTGCAGAGCAGTTCAGGTCAGCAACCAGTTGGGAAACTCTTTCGTTGCACAGGGTACACAGGCACCCAGCCCACAGGGCTTCCTGCCTTCAACAAGTGAATGGTATCAACAGAGACTTCTGAAGAACCATTAAACCCACGATTAAATCATTCCAGTACCTTTACAACTCAGGGATTAACAGGAATTATCACTCGGAAAATAAAAGTAACCCCAGTGGCTAGAATAATGAGAAAGCACCTATCCTCAGAAACAACCTTGCAGAGACATCCTGTATTGGTGGCGACTCCTGCTCTGAGCTCAGGCCCCACACACTGCGGGGTCAGAGCCTCCCCTGGAACCCCCAAACCAGCCAGGTCTCCCCCATCTGGCTGTAAGCCAAGGGTAGTTCTGGACTGATCAGTCTGGGCTTACCTGGAGTTCCTGGAATAGGCTTTCCGGTAGGGAAGAGGTAGCTTCAGCTGGCATCTACAAAACAAGAGATGCATCAAACCTGACTGCCAGAGAGCAGCACGGCCTTGTGGTCAAATACAGAAAATGACATTTTGTCTAAATTTGAAATTAATTTAGCTGTAATGGAAGATGTCAACAACTCTGGAGACTGAATCCACCACTGCCTTTGGCCTGTCCTCAAGGAAGGAGGATCAGCCTGCGCATTCATTTCCACAGCCGTCACTGGGCTGACTTGGGAAAGGTCCCACATCCTACCACCAGCCATCAGAGGGCCACCCAAGGTGAGAAGCAAAGCCCTGACAAGGCAGAGCACAGACGTGGAAACAACATCTTCAAGGAAGCAGATTGCTACAGACATGAGCACAAGCAACCCTCCCTATGTTGCCATACCTGAGCATAACAAGGGCAGCTTTGCTTAGCACCTGATCACACTCAAAGAAACGGGAAAGGGATATTTCAGCTTCCACTGGGAATATGCATCTTAACCCCGAAGTAGAATAATCCCTAACTTGTTATTGCAAAAACACGTCAGTTGGCAGTTATAGCTAGTCACATGCAGACTGGGAGCACAAGACCACAGTTGGGATTTTAAGTAAATAAACATTTGAATCTGGATTCCTGTTCCCCCAGCAACTGTCACTCAGTGTCCTGTGTCCGTTCCAACACCACATGAACAGTGATAATTTCCTCCCCACACAAACACAAGAGTTGGGCTGTGGCAGCTGAAAACAATTTCTGAACACTTTCCAGGTGCAGGCATGTATCAGATCTGAACTTCACTGTTTCTTTAAAGCAAAGACTACACAGAAAAGAAAGTAGATTTTTTTTTTTTAAACAAGACAGACTGGCCTGAATGCAAATCCAGTCTTTTAAGTATAATTTTTCGACAGAGAATCTCAGTAACATGCACTTCATAATTCTTCCTACATCAAACACTTGAAAGAAATGCATTCTAGTCAATACTGATAAGTGTCTTAATTAAAACACTTTCAAAGTTGCAGCCATCCATAAGTAAGCCCTTAAAACAAAAGTTCTTGCTCAACCACAACAAAAGCTTTTAAACGGTAAAGGATCCTTCCTCTTGAGGAGGATCTGAGGAGCAGTGAAACCCAGCAGGGCTCTACAGAGCAGTCAAAGGGACCAAGCTTTGCAGATGTGCTGGCCTAAACATGAAGCACAACCAGACAGAGGTGCCCATCTCCCAGCACTTACCCCTTCTCCTGCAGGGTGACTGTCCGAGGTGAGGTGCTCCTTCCCAACACACCTTCAGCTGTAGGGTCCTCCTTTCTGCTGGACTTCCTCAAGGAATCACAACTTTTCTTCCCTGCATCAAACAGCTGCCTGCCAGCAGCTACAGAGTTCTTTCCCCCAGCTGAATCCCCTACAGAGGAGCTTTGCTGCTCATTCAGGGCAGATTTGGACAAGCCAGACGTCTTTTGCCATTCAGCTGCTGCACAGGGCGCTCTGTCACTGGCACCAATTGCTGTCCTATGACTCCTTCCTTGTTTGCAAGCCACTCCTTTTGAGGGGTTCTTCCCAGCTGTCCTGGGACCTTGAGAAACACATCTGTCTGGCGCTTTCCTTTGCAGTTTTTTCACATCTGGCTCAGTCCTGTAAGGGGCTCTTAGCTGATATGTAGAAGGCTTCCTCAAAGGGGCAGGCTTTTTGCTTATAGCCCTCACCTTCGCACTCTCAGGAACATCCTCAACAGGTACAGGCTGCTCTTCAGCATTCTCGGGAGCAGGTCCCTCACCTGCAGATTTCCCTCCTGCAGCTCTCTGGGCCTCTAATGGAGCTTTCAAGATGCTTTTCCTGACTTTCAGTGCCTTCTCTAAGGCCCTGTTCAGCAGCTCAAGCTCCTCCAGCTCCTTGGGCGAAGGCCTGTTCTCTGCAAGAGAAGACATTATCAGAAGGTCCAAACCTGGATCTTCCCCATTTATCACTGTACTAACTCACTCTTCCAGGTATTACAGAAGGAAACCGAACCCAATGAATGGTGCAGTGGGTATTTTGGCCACACTCCCACAGCAACTACACAGGGGATGCAGGCAGGCTTGCCAAAAGCCTTGAAGGTCCGGGATGGATGTGGGTCACAGGAGGAGACAGTTCTCCTGAGTCAACCTCCCCCTTCACCAACAAGAGACAACCACCATGTCTCGGTCAACCCCACAGACACATCACCGCTCCCCTCGGCTACCGTGGGATGACTCCAAGCTAACACCAGGGAGGAAAGTGGCAGGAAAGAGGTAGAGGGAGGGCTTCAGGTCGATGCAGAGCGCTGGAAGGCCTCCCACCACCGAGGCTGGCTCAGCCCCGGGCCCGGTGTGCCATGAGGGGACACCACCAGGCCGAGGGGGAAGCGCTCACCCTGTCCCTCGCTGGAGCCGGGCTCTGGCTGCGGCTGCTCGTCTTCCTCACAGCCCCTGGAAGTGGGAAGAAACACAGCACCGGGGGTCAGCGCTGCCGTGCACCGCCGGGCCCGGCTCCCCCCACGGCCCGCGGGGCCTCCCACACG